AAACTGTGGTCAATGACATGAGACAAAGTATACGTGAACTGCTTAATGGAAAGTGAATTTGCTCTGTAAATCTTCACCCAAATCACAATAAAAATAAAAACTAAAAAAAAAGAAATTATACTACAGCCCAATGATGTGTGTTACATGAACAGGCAATATCAAAAAGGGGTATAGAACAGAATAGGATTTTTGTAAATACTTAAATTTGTTATTTCTAAGTTTGATATACAGATTCTACTTGTGCTTGCTTGCGTAGTATCTTATTCCATCTCGGCTACAAATACCCAAGCATCTCAGGTATATACAGGTAAGGGAAGAGAAAACAAAGTGCAGAGACAATCAGAGAAATGACAACACAAAGTAGATTGTTCCTTACATTAAAAAGTTCATGAATCAACGGGTGATTATTAAGTTCACACAGAAAAAACCTGAAAAGACAGTGATGCTTGGGTACAGAAATTAATTTTGGATATAAGATTATTTTTTTTACTATTGGAGAAGTTTTAAAAACTATCTGCTAAGTCTCCAAATCAGTTCCTAATCTAGCTCAACCATATTATTATCACCAAGATTTTAACTGGCTCTGGTGGCGTAGTGCTTGAGGCATTTGACTACTAACCAGAAGGCCTGGCAGTTCAAACACCCACCCCAGCCACTCCTCAGAAGGAAGACTGGGTAATCTACTTCTGTAGAGATACTGCCTTGGAAAGGAGGGGTTGCTATGAGTCGAACTGACTCAATAGCAGTGAGTTTAGTTTTTTTTGGTATGTCTCAATAAATTAGCCATTTTGAGTCCAGGGCATTAATATTTGATTCACCGATATGTGATTTTTATAATTTCAATCACATGGCACTTATAATCACAACATAATACACAAATACAAAAACAACAATGAAGACTCTGGAAGGATTTTTGATGATATTCCTAACAAGATATTGATTAATTAAACATTTTCTAAGTGCTACTGTGTAAAGCTCTGATCTTTGAAATCTAATTGGCGAACAACACAAAAACCTGAAGGCTATCAAAACACAACAGAGTAAAGTACAGGACAGTATAGCATAATTTTTATGTAAGTATTATGGAATCACTGAAAAAGAATAATCAGGTGATGTCAGAAATAGAAGGCTACTCTAAGGACAGTGTAATTGTAATACTAAAAAACGCTAAAAAAAAAACAGGTATCAGTAACAGTAAGAGAATTCCTTAAGAGAATATTTATATTATCACTAGTCTTAATTTAGTTTACTTCAACAAAATGTTATATAAAGACCAAGTCCTTTACACAAACTTTATGAGTGTCAGAACCACCTGGGGACCTTTTGAAAATACAGATTCCTTATGTTAGCCTTGGGAATTCATTCTGTTGGTATAGGATAGTGCTTCGGAATCATTATTTTAAAAAAGCAGCCAAATAAAAATGTAATAAAGACACAGATTCTGACCTGCCTTCTTTCATGGATTAAAACATGTAACATAAACAGTTACTGATGTACAAGGTTTGAAAAGTATTGTAAAAAAAGGTTCAGATAAAACTCAAAACAGGTTTTATGCACTATTTTAGACTATGTTACATTTCTCACTTGACCTAAATGACTTTAACATTTAATATAAAATTTGAAATCAATGTATTAAACCAAAATTATGAAAACTTAAACTTACCTAAATTGGCATACATCACAAACAGGTTGAAATACTGCTGTAAATGACGCCCATGCTCTGAAACTTCCCTTCTCAGGAGATTTAGTACTGCTCTTAGTAAGTGATCACTCAAGCTTAAGTTATCATAAGCCTATAAAGGATAAAACATTAGTGCTTTATTTTTCCTTCAAGAGAAAAGGTGCAGGTATGACATCTTATTTGCATAAGAAAATACATGAACATATATAATTTGAATACAAGCAGCAATTTCTGGAAAGACTGATCACGTAAGAAACTATTAAAAAGTTGCTTCTTGGAAGAGGGAATGATGATGTGAGGTAGATTTCATTATAGAACCATCATACTGCTGTTAATTATAAATATATATATTTAAATAAAAAATCCATTTAATCGTAAGTTTTAAGTAAGCCACTGCACGTAACCAAATAAATGGAAAATTCCCTTATTTTTAAGAGACGATCACTACTCATTGCTATGAATTAATTTTTATGGAATTCACAGATAGGAGATTGTATGTAAACATATCAGACAGATAGATACACATGCTTGTAAAATCAGTTCCAGATTTGTAAATGTTTATCATTAGAAAGAAAGCTGAGTAATTTTACCTGACTGGAAGGTCCAGGAGATGCAAAAGGGGAAGGACATGGCCCATCTTGCAAGGAAAAATGTGCAATAAAAACAATAAGTTTTGCAAATGCACCCCTCACTTCTGCACTAGGGCATTCCAGAAGGTATTCAGAGAAGCGATTTGAAACATTAAAAAGAACATTATGAGCAAACCAAAAACGAACATTCTTGCTGTGACGAAGAAGGATACACAGTGCATCATACCTAAAAATAGAAAAGAAAATCTATGAATATGAACTCGGCCACCTGCTTTCTATAATAAATGAATGGGTCTCTAGGGACCCAATAAAGATCAAACACCTCTACCTACATTTTTATAACACACACACACACACACACACACACACCAAAAAAACCCACCATTCTTTTACTGTTGGGAAAAGCAGCAATAGTTGCTCCTAGCACTAATATAAAAATGACACATGAACACCAGGACATAGTCTACTCCCAAAGAGTTAAAAGGCAGAAGATGAAAGCTCACATAGTCATCTAGAAATCCACTGCCAAACTCTTTTTGGTTCAATGACAAAACAGTATCCCTCTTCCCTTACCTTAACATCTTACTTCTGGATAAATAAAATAATTATATAAAAGAATTAAAATGGTCTGTATACTTTCACGATTACCAGAAAATGAAAACAATTTTAATTTCTACATTTTAAATCTTAAGGCAAATTTTAATCCATGAAAGCTAAAACCTAGTAATTTCATACTAAAAACCTGACTTTTGTAATCTCTTTATATAAGGATATCAAAGATATGATCTAGGGTAATAGAAGCAGAAGCCACCTTCTAAATATTACAAAGCCATGTTTAGACTATTTATTTTAATATGATTCCTCCCTGCTACCAAGAGTGTTTTATTCTGCATTCCAAATTCTGAAGGTTTGGGTATGATTCCAAATATATGACATTATGGAAAAGGAAAAACTAAAAAGAAAAGATCAGTGATTGCTAGGGGTTAAGGTTGAGAGGGGCGGGATGAGTAAGTGAAACACTGGGCATTATTAGGGCAGTGAAATTGTTCTGTATGATATTCTGTAATGGTAGACACATGACATTCTGCAGATTTCTTAAATCTAAAACTGCTCTAAAAGATAAGCCTATTAAAAAAAATTTCACAATTTGGAAAAATACAGCAGCACATAAAAGGCCTCAACTAATTGTTAGCATATTATGAACCAAATTCCAAAGCCATGTACCAATCACTGGCAGAGCCACGGACTATTTTCTTTGTGTGAAATCCTGTGGTAAAGAGGAATCTAGCGGCAAGCTGAATGCTAATCATGGTGATTTCTTCTGCTTCAGGCAACAGATGATCTTGCCCTATAAATAAAATGCAGATGATTAAAACAAACAAATGAATACATTTCTATGTTCAAGTCTCATTTTCAAGTAAGTGTGCATTCCCACCAATTCTAAGACATCCTAAATTTGTTAAAATCCTTCACAGGCTATTTATGAAATAATGCTTAGTTCTTACTTCAGCAGCTCACTGAATATCTTTGAAAACTAATGCTTGAGTCTAACTAATGCTTCTTTAACAAATTGTTAAAGTAAGTCTCCTTTGTTTCCATTAACTCAATATATACTGTTCAAAGGCAGTCATCTTAAATGACTTCAAAATAACCAACAGCAAAATTTAGACCCATTTAAGATGAAAAGATTAATTTTATGAACTTATAAAAATTACATATGTTGATGTCTGCTAAGAAATCCTACAAGTATAATAAGAACTATTCTTTATTATCAAGAAGCTAAATTATACATACTTACCTGGAGGAGGGCTTAAGTAAACACTATTACATGTAAGCAGTTTTTTCATAAACTGAAAATACTCTAAACTGTACTGCATTCGGTTATGCATGAATTGTACATTCTGTTTCCGTACACTTCTCTCAATGGCTGAAGGCATAATAATTTGATGGGGTCTTGTGGTGATAGCAAGCTCTGATATGTATCTGATCAACTCATCATCTTGGTCTATTGTGTCCATTCGTTCATAAAAAAGTATATAAGCATTCCACCACCTTTTCTGGCGCCTGTATGACATGCGCTTCATCATATGATCAAACACTTCTCCCATGTACTCTCCACCAAAACACTGGTTTTTCATTTCTTCATCATCATCCATTTTACACTCTGTTACATCTCCATCATCAAATTTATACCAGCGATTTCTCTCACCATCTCCACCATTCCTTTGAATGATGTAAGAATAATAATGTCCTCCACTTGCTTGACCACTGTGTACAAGTACACCCACAAGTCTGTATCTTGTGCTTCCTGCTGTCTCACTTTCAGACTGCTCATTTTGTTGTATCAACTGACTCTCTGGGTTTACATTATCTCCTTCCAGCTTTGCAACACCTGCAACAGTGTAAGGTTCCATGTCCAGCTCTCGAGGAAATTCAAAATAGTCATTGAACTTGATTGCACATTCTCTTTCCCAGTCATAGTCAAATCGTTTTAATTGGATAGCAAGAACAGGAGGCAATTTTTTAATTAGCAAGCGCTTTACAGTATCAACCTAAAATAAACAGAGAAAGTTACTAGTCTCTTATAATCACTGTAAGAAAACACCAAACTTCTAAATTATATTAATAAATTATTTTAAGATTTATCTAAAATTATTTAAAGGTACAAATACATGAAATGAACACAAGGTTTGTCATAGTTTCTGATCTTAATGAAATCTAAAAATATAAGGAGCAATGATGGCAGAACAATGAAGCAAGCACTCAGCTGCTAACCTAATGGTTCATGATTCAAAACCCACCTAGTGGCTTCATAGGAGAAAGACCTGGAGACCTGCTTCCATGAAGCCAAGACAACCCTATGGGCAGTTCTCTTCTGTTATGGGGTTGCTATGAGTTAGAACTGACTCCACGGCACTCAACAACAAAAAATATAAAAATATGGAAATCACCTATGCCATTTGTCACAAATCACAAAAATTAGTGATATAGACATTACTTGTTACCTGTTTCCCATTATTGTCATTGCTATCTGTTATTCTAATGAAAATAGTTTGCTGTGAGCAAACTGAAGAAATGTAGTAACAGTATTAATGAGCAGCTAATGTTTACTGGGCAATTAGGTGCTAGGTAATATGCTAAGTGCTGTACAAGTAGTAATGTAATTTAATTCTTACAACCCTACAAGGCAAGTACTACTGAAACCTTACTTTAATGATATCAGGAATCACAGAGAGGTTAACTAACCTGCCACAAGTTTCAAGAGCTGGAGGTCACAGGCAGTATTGGCTTTACAGCCCATGATCTCTGTATCTACACTTGATACACACTATTGTGTGTGTGTGTGTGTGTGTGTGTGTGTATAAACTGTCTCCTTAAAATGCTGTTGTTGTTCTCACAGATAAAAAATTATTTGAGTCTAAAAATATGATCCAAATGGTTAAAAATACAGGGTAGAAGCAATCTTACATGGGTAGACAAAGTAATTAAGAGTTTCAGCCAACTTCTTGGTCTTGAAGAGTAACCCTGGATATGAGAAATATCCTCCCCTGCAGCTCTGGTAGCTCTGAGGAATTTAACAGCAGTTTGCTTCAGGGTAGTGATGGAAAGTGTCTATGTAACTCAGAGATAAGAGAATGTGGTATCAACCTGTTACGACTTCTAAGGCTATTTATTCACTCTTAGGTACCTGTTTTCCCAGTCCCGTTGGCACTATTTTGTATCCATCTACTTTCCCGGACAAACCTTCTCTAAATCAGTTATCATCTTGACTACCTCTCTGCTACCACCACAACAAAGTAGGGTAGGGAATACAGAGAAGATGGTGAATTCTGAAGATGAACAAACAACTAGCTTCTTCCAAATCCATTACATGCAATCATAATAATTTTAAACAACACTGGACAATCCATACCTTTTTATTGCATTTTTCACAATGATATGCATTTGCACCTTCTAATAAATCTCCTTTGACATACTGCTCCAAAGAATCAAGAAGATTTTGGTGATTCCTAATGTCTACATTCAGAGTCGTAAAAGATTCTTCACATTCGTACCTAAATGTTATTTAAAAAATGATCAAAGAGTTAGGATTAATTTTTTAGTCTTCTAAACATTTTATTTAGCTATGGAGTTAATGACAAAAAAGTTTGCAACATGTATTATATAATACAAAACCCATAAATCACAGAACGTTGTCATTTCTTGGTCACTTATTGGACATCTATCAGTCACTTACTATGTGCTGGACACATTAGGCTGTTTACAAACTATACTGGATTCTTTGTCTTCACAACAAACCTGCCAGAGAAATACCACCACCCCACTTCAGAGATTAGTGAACTGGAAGATCACTAGGCAAAATGGTGTTTTGAAGTAAGGTCTGTCTGGCCTCACAGGTTAAGCTCTTAGTATTCTCCCATGCTGCTTCCATTATTATCTGTTTAGATAGTAATTCAGCATGAATCTATCCAATTCTCAAAAGCATATTTTACAGTTTTTTTTAATGTATCAACTTTTAAATGGTCCTTCTTTTAATAGAAACCTAACTAAAGCACACGTTTGAACACATGAGTAAGTAAGGGACAAGTAACATAAGCAGTAGCCAGCAATCCAGATTGTAATTTTCTCAAAGGGACTTTCAGATTTCTGATAAAACTTGTATGTAATTTCAGAACACATGTGATGTAGAGAATGCATTGTCTACCATCAAATTCATTCACTCAATAAATACACTGAGTGTTTTACATGTAAAAAGAACTGTGGGATAATTCTGTATTTAAGATAGTTCTTCCTATTTAGGGATTTTCAATTTAGTTAAGGAAATAAGACAGGTACACAAATAAAGGCATTTATAAATGACGTGAATATAATATGAAGTAGGTACTAAGCAAATTGCTACTATCATCAGGAAACAGGCCATAGGAGAAAAAAAAAGTTAAATCGTACGATTCCAGTTAAAAAAGCAGGATATTCTAAGACCAAAGGTTAGCAAACATTTTCTGTGAACAGTGAGATAATAAATATTTTAGCCTTTGCAGGCTACCCCATTCTGTCACTGTAGTGAAAGAAGCCAGACAGTATGTACATATGAGAGCATGGCTGTGTTCAAACCAATAAAACTTTACAAAAACAAGTAAGGGGCTGGATTTGGCCCTTCAGTCAGTGTGCTGACCCCTGTTTCTATATAATAGATAGATTTGGGATTCCATGTAATCCTACAGTACATAACAAGAACAAGACTATTTCAGTTGTTGAGTAGGTACCTTTTGACCATTATTAATGGTCTGACAATCAAGATCATATTCTGTACATTTAATTTGGCAAAGAAAACCAGTAATTCCCAAATGATTTTGAAAACTGGCTAAAACAAAATGAGGATGAACAGAAACAGGTAACTAAAAAGCTGACCATTTTATAAAAAATGCGAAACAAGAGGTTAAAATAATAATTTTACTGTCCACTGAATATAATGAAGGTCTTTCAAAAGGACCAAAAACTACCCACATGAACAAACACACCCCCTTCATTCCGAATGAACCGTAAGATAGCAACCTGATGAAAATTTCCCATTTATATAATAATCCTTCTGCCCAAATTATTTCCCTATGTTCAAAAAGGAACCACACCTACTAATCATACATACATATGTAATAGTCTGGCTTGTAAAAAATACTTTATATTGCTGTTACAGTTGGTGAAAAGGGATTTAAAACCAACTTTAAGAAAAGTCCTAACGTAAATGTTCCATGCAACAGGCATAAATATATATTTATCAGCGATGAACTATTAATAAAGTTATTTATTTTCAACAGGAGGCCTCAAACAATCTCTCTTTTGATAGGAAAAAAAACCTTATTTTTTGTCAACTCTTTTTAAATGTTTTGTGCACAAATATATCTTAACAATGACAACCATAATCAGTAGTATTTTAGAAGCCATTCCTTCTTTTGTCTGGAAAATACTGCTCCAGATTTGTCATCTTCTACAATTAATATATTCAAAGTGTTATTAATTCTAAGATAGAGGTCAAATTTTTAAGTAACATTTATAGATATAAGCAAAATGCCATTTTATTTCCCCAAAAATGACTATATATAAAAAAATGTCAGAGGAAATAAATGTAAGAGATTAGGTGAAGTAAAAGGAACCAAGTATTATTTGAAAAAAAATACAAACAATCCCCTCCCCTGACAATAGTAGAGTATGCACAGTACATAATTCATTCACAGTCTTAGGTATTTAATAATCAGTGACATAATTCTACCTTTGTGTGTAAGTACTAGTGATAATTTTATTTTTGTTAGTAAAAAAAAAAAAAGCACAATATATACTTTAAATATGTAATTAACACTTACCTATGTGGGCAGCCTTGGCAAATCTTCTGATCAGCAAAAGAACCTCCTAAGACTTTACTTAGCATAGCCGGATGGCCTAAGGCTTTCAAAGCTTCATCTAAACTATCCACCAATGAATTAAAAAATTCTAACGCATCATGTTGTTCACGTAGATTAACAGGCTCACCCCAAAGCCTAAAGGATGAATAAAGTTAAACATGTAACATGCAACATTCCCAGAATAATAAATTTTTCAGGGGAAACAAACTAATACAACCACAGATGACGTTATATAAATTGAGATTTTATTTTTCAACTACATGACAAAGTAGAAAAGCTGAATGGACTTTAAGCACAGTGGGGAAGAAAGTGAGGCTCAGGGTGAAAATGGTACTCCAGTGGCAAAGAATTACCATGAAACTCTTGGTGTGGCTGATGAACAGTATGGCTCCAAAAAAGATGGCTACCTAACACCGCATGCATGCATTGTGAATCCAATGGAAAATGCTATTAAAAGAGGAAGACGAAAGGAATCCCACTCTTACTCTTATGTGGATATTATAAATATTATTTTTATTCCATTTATTTTTGCTTACATTTTGGGGTATAGAGATGGTATATGTTTACTCTTATTAACTAAACTGATTTTTCAAAGTGAAAAGAGAAAGGTCTGACTTATTTTAGAATAAATCTCTTTTGAATAACCTGAGAATTTACATTAGGCAAACCAATCCTGAGCAAACTAATCATCAATTCTGTGTGCCATAAAAATGTGAACAAATGCTGCTAAAACCCAGGAGCTACAGGAAAGTATCCATGACATAAATTTCATATTTAGAGAGTACATGCGAGTGTATTAATTCTAAGCAAGACACATTGCAAATGCATTTTTAAGCATTTCTGATCAGTTTTAAAAAAACTAAGAGAATTATTTTGATAAATTATTTTGTAAAAGTTCTGTGCAGCAAATAATCTCATTTAGACAAATAATAAATTGCATGAAATTTAATTATCTGTTAAAATCAATTTGTTTCATTGTTGGAAAGGACATCACTCTATCCTATTTATAGTCAACTCCCCATGAGTAATCTACTAATTGTAAAAGGGAAAGACAACCTTCACAATGGCGCAATCTGTTAGGCACCAAGGGATCAAATTTATTGATAACTAGGCTAACTGATAACCCTGTGACCCTTTATGCAATATGTGGTTTTTCCTTCCTGAACAATGTTTAACTTGAATCTATCATGAGGAAATAATACAAATTTAGAAAGTAGGACATTCACAAAAATTTTAGTGATTCAAAAGGTCAAGCAAAGGAGATTAAATGAGTTTAGAGGTAACAACCAAATTTCTGTGATTTCTTACTAGACTGAGATTTAAAGAGTTACCAAATATATTTTACAGAAATCAATACACACTGTTGAATATTAGAAATTACTAACACGATTACTTTCTTGGAAAGTGAAAACGACATTATTCTGAAGAGACATATATTTAAGTATTTAGAGGTGAAGTGCCCTGATATTTGCAACTTACTATCAACTGTTCTCATATAGGGTTGCTGTGAGTTCGAATCGAGTTGATTCCAGTGGGTTTATTTTTTTCTTCCCCAACTGGTTCAGAAAAACTCAAAACACACACCAAATATCAAGCACATATATGAAAAGACAAGCAAATGTGACAGAATGTTAACTGGTAAGTCTGGGTAAAGAGCATAATAAATACTCAATGATTATGATACTACTTTGTCTACAGGTCTTAAATTTTTCAAAATAAAAAATTTAAGGCGAGGGGAATGGGGTTATGTAATCCATATTTATCTAGAGTATGTTACATGATTAAAGTGCTGCTAATCCAGAAGTGCTAGTCTAGACAAACTGTGAGCTCCACTAGCACAGGAAAAACTAATTGGGAGGTAATACGTAAATGCACTCACTGTATTAAGAGAGAGAACAGTATTTACAGTTGAGTTAAACATTTTAAGACAAAAATGCTAAAAAACAAAACCTCACTGCAGATATGGATTGAGCTAGGGAAAGAGAAAGAAAGAATAGTCAGAGGGAGGCAAGGGGTACTCCAGGTGATGGAGCTAAAGCAGAGCACTAGGTAAAAATAAAAGAGGGGGCCTCGTTTGGGGAACAGATGTAATGTATTTGGTTAGTCATAAAAGGGATTATATTATAAAGTAGTGGTTTCAAAAGAAATCTAAATAGCATCCCTAGAGATAACAAGGGAGCTACTCTAACTGAAAGCATGACAGAGGACCTGAGAGTCAGTGTCAGGTGACCCTTTGCTTACCTTCCTGAGCTGTCAGGGAATCACTTTGTTGAAGGAATTCTAAGGAATATTATTTTAAAACCCCACTGCTTTGAAGTATTACACTCCTTTTCACACACTGTAAAGAATTATTCAGTTCTATTTTGGTATTTTAGTACATAATAGGCACAACACGTAAGAGGCATTGATTGAAAAAACATAACCAAAAAAATCAGACAAACAAGATCAAGATGTAAAGGCTCATAAGTCACTTTAGAAGAATGTTAGGAAACCAACTAATTATTTTATAAACTGATAAGGAAGAGAAAAAAGCATGTTCTATGAAACTGTACATTAAGAGTGGCCAAATCACCGGTGTGGGAAAGTTCTCCTTTATATATAGGGCATTCTAGCTAATAAGTCAAAAAATGACATAATTTGAATACTGCTATTATGTAACCCTGATGAAATAATACATTTAGGCAATAATGATCAATGGCTGTTAACATCATAAGAAGAGAGGTAAGCAAACACTATGTACTTCTATTCATGTAGGTAAACATTACCAACTATAAAGCAGTTTTGCCTATCCACTCCAAAAAAAGAAAAGTAACACCCCAATCTAATCAAGTCTCTAGATCTCAGTACTCATTTATAGGAAATACAGGGGGAACTGGGAAAAGGAGAAAATACTAAAATACCATAGTAATGCAATCACCAAAATGCAGACTGTGGGAAAATTTATAGAGTCAAAAAAAAACCACCCCAAGCTCAATGCCACTGAGGTGATTCTGACTCATAGCAACCCTGCAAGGACAGAACAGAACTGCCCTATAGGGTTTCCAAGGCTGTAAATCTCTACAGAAGCAGATTGTAACATTTTTCTTCCATGGAGGGGGGCAGGCAGATCTGAACTGCTAACCTTTCAATTAGCAGTTGAGCACTTTAATCACTGTGCCAGTAGGACCTAGTTTCTTCAACCAATAATTGGAAAGAGGGGAAAAAGACTGAAGAGTCATATGAACCATTCATGGTATATGGATCTCATTTGGATCCTGATTTAAAAAAAAAAAAACACGGAATAAAAAGCAATTATGAGACAACTAGGTAAAAACTGACAGGGATACTGGGTATTAAGGATTATTTTCAGACATGAAAAACAGCATTTTAAAACACACATGAGAGATACATATTAGAGTGATTACAGTTGAAATTATGCCTGGGATTTGCTTCAAAACAATTTAGAAAGTAAAAATATAGATTAAACAAGATTGGCCATGAGTTGATAACTGTTCAAGTTAGGTGGTAAGGATACTGTGCTCCAGTATATATTAAAAATTTTCCATAATAAAAAAGTTAATACCAAGAGGCTAAAGAATTCTGCCTTTTCCTTATTGTGATAATTTCTATCTCCTCCTATGGGCATATTGAGAAAGAAAAAAAACCTTACTTACTAAGAAGAACAGTTTGAGTATTACTATTGCTTAAGGAGCTCTGGTGGTGTTAGTGGTTATGGCATTTGGCTGCCCACCAGCTGCTCTACAGAAGAAAGATGAGGCAGTCTGCTTCTGTACAGGTTTACAGCCTTGGAAATCCAATGAGAACTTGCTATGAGTCAGAAATGACTTGATGGCAGTGAGTTTTGTTTTTTGGTGCTTTTTTATTGCTTAAATATTAAATAAAGATACCTTATGGTATATATTTTAGAAGTTTAACATTAGTGTGTTGAAATGTTCACAAAATTTTAAATATTCCTGTTATTATCCAGCAACAGCTTACCTGAACTGTTTCCAAAATCCTCTCGGCACATAGTATTGAAGTCGAGATGCGGCTAAATGACCAAAAATGACCTGAAGGTGTCTGAGGACACCAATATTGTACTCTTTTCTATCTTCTGTTTTACTTAACACTGGCTTGTCTTCAAACTGTTGAGGATATCCAAATACATCATCTCTGGGATCAACATTGCTCTATAAACAAGTAAGAGAAAACCCACACTCAATAATCATTAATGAGCTAATACAGCTTTAAAAGTATAGTAAAATATATTGAGACAAAATACCAACATTAACCAAATGATTTCTATTATGTTTCTTAATTCCAAAGCATGTAACTTTAAATTTATAAATTTCAATTTACAATATTAGTGTTTAACCCAACCGTTTCACGAGTTATCAGATGAGGTGACATAATATAGCAGAGAAGAGTGCACTGGTTAAGTAAGACCAAATTGGACACAAAAGCAGGCACTTGTAAAGCTAAGATAGTTTAACTAAGTAAAGTTACTTAACCTTTCCAAGCTTCAGTTTCTTCATATAGCTGTTGTGCAGATTATGAGATAATACGTATAAAGTATTTAGAACTGTAAACGTTCAATAAAATATAGACTATCAACCCCAACCGCCACATGGTCTAATTCAGAGGATCTGAGGAAAAGTTGATTTAAACATATATTTAGAAGCTCCAAATGATGAACTACTTCCTTAGACAAAACTAGTTCTGGTGACTGAATGGAAAAAAATTGATGAAAGTATTATTCAAGACATTTAGTATAATTTTGAATATATATGCTCTGGCTCCTGCCCTCAGTTCCCATCAACACTTTGAGTAGGAAAGAGATAATAAAAGAGAAGTACACCAGGACAATGATGAAGCAGTTTGCTTCTGAAAAAATTTACACCCTTGGAAACCCTATGAGGGCAGTTCTACCCTGTCCTAGAGAGTTGCTATGACTCAGAAGCTACTCAATGATAGTGGGTGGTTGGCTATAAACATGACTACAACTCAAGCCTTGCAATATTCGCTTATTTAAAGAACTATGTCATAGTTATGTCCACTCTAATCTGCCAATAAAACCTAATTTTTCCACTGCTTTATTCTGCACTGGATACCAATAGGCATTGTAAATTTTGCCACTAGACCATGCAGCATCATTTACAGCAGAGAGGTTTATTTCTTAAGAATAGTTAAGATCTGAGTTACTTTAGTAACCTAAAAATAGGTACAGATAATGGAAATGACAACATACAACTTGGCATAAAGTAATGAAGATATGGAATTAAAATATGAAATAGGAAAGTGGAAATAAAAGCCATTATTAAAAATGAAGATTACTATTACATAAGCCCTAAATTTCACTGAACACTTTTCACATGAAATATGAACACATTAACTGTGCTTTAAAGACTATAGATAAAGTGTCATAAAAATTAACTGCATATTTAAAGTCCTGCAGATAGCAAGCACTATACTGTAACTACATCAAGAGGTAGTATCCAACACTGGGAGAATCCAGTCCTATATAAAATTATACTTCAAAAAGTCCAATAAAAGTATAACACTCAAGTAAAAACAGTATTTGGTATAAGAATCATCAAACACAGAAAACAGAAATGAAAATTAAAATTTACCTCATTGTCTTGCTTCTCATCCCCAGACATATCATCATCTACATCACTACCTGTGCCTTCAATTGCAAGAATGCCATTCCTAATTGAAGGAATCATGTATAGTTGCTGAATCACAGAATTCATGTAACAAGTAGCACCAGCATTTTTCAATCCCACAAATCCTTTTGGTGGGCGGGGTCCAACGGGTGGCAAATATTCCCACTCAGTAAGTGCTTCACAAGCTAAGGGAAAAGATTTTTGTAGCATGAACACAATCATTCTGTCACTTACAACTCTACTAAACTGACAAATTAACATTAGCAACAATTCAATCATCACTACAGGCATCCTGAAGTAGTGCTCTATGTTTTCATTTCACCCTTAACAAATCTAAGATATACACCAACAGGCATCACTGAACAGTCTTAACAACCACCCATGAACACATATTTTCTGATGTGCTTCATGCTGCTTTTACTTGTAAGTAGTCATAAAAGATGTAATAATGTTAATTTCTATGTGCTAATTTTAGTTTTAGTGTTTAGTTATTATCAACTTTAATTCTTTATGCTTTTGTATATTTTTCAAGTCCCTTCAAATTCACTGCGGCATAAAATGGTACATTCAACATTACAGCAGTTTGCTCACTTTTAGATAATCCTTAGACCATCTGGGTTCGTATCCTGGTTCTGACACCTACCAACCCTTGCTTTCAAGTGAGCCTGTTTCCTTCCTAATAAATGCAGTAAAACAAATAATACATGCTTTGCCTATAGCCAGTGTTACTTGGAAGAGCAAATAAGATAGTGGATTTTAAAGTTTTGTGAGAACTGCAAGTTACTATACATCTTCTACTTTGTATAAAACTAGAACCACCAAAATATCCATCACTGTCTAAGTATGTCAGCAGTCCCCCAACTTATGATGGGGTTCTATTCTGAGGACTCCATAGGAAGTCTGTTCTCACAAAAACAAATACCTAATTTTTAAGTTTTCAATATTACTACCTTTTATTAGCAGTATTCTTTATAAATCTGATCTTTGTGTTTGGGGACTGGAGCACTACACATAAACTTCCAAATATATTTTAGTGCTGTATGTAGCACATATCACTAATGATAAGATGTACCAAAAAAATCCAACAAACCATGAGAAGTATGGTTCATGTAACTTGAATAAGTCCAAAGTTGGGGACTACCTGTATAATCATATAGATGTGGCATATATGGAAGAAAACATGAGCTGATGATAATGGGTGGCTGCTGTTCTGAAAGGGGGCTAAGGAATCTGGGATGTACAGGAAGTCTACTTCTTAGTATATACCTTTTCCAGCACTTGAAAATTTTACCATGCAAATTCAGTACTTGTAAACATACATCAAACAAAAAAATGCCACTAAGTTAAAAAACAAACACACACACACCATCAAGCCATCTCATTTTTCATAGATTTAATAGGATAAATAACTAAAGATCTAAGCTTTGAAGCAGTCAATTGAAAACTCCTAAAGTGCTTAAAAAAAAAAAAAAACTTCCTTATATTCTGATATGTTGTTGTTATTTGCCATCGAGTCGGCCCTGACTCATAGCGACCCCTCCTTGGGTTTCCGAGGCAGTATCACTATGGAAGTAGGATTGCCCAACCTTCCTTCCAAGGAGTGGC